GAAAATCATTTTTGAAAAAAACGTTTTTTATTGATTTTCTTTCCTTGTATGGTTTGCCAAGCTCTAAGTTTGATTTGGCAAACGACATTGTATCTTTTGATATTTCATCGCATTTAAGGATAATTCCAAATGATTTTCCTATCGTGTAATAGTATAAATCGTTCTGTTTTCTTTTTCTTTTCGGTTTTTTAGTTGATCGAGGTTGTTTAGTTGATCGAGGTTGTTTAGCTGATCGAGGTTTTTTCTTCATAGTGGTGTGTTTTGAAACCCTTTTCGATCTTTTTAAAATGGCGAGTATACACAATATGTAAATTAATAATATAGCAACTATCACCAAAAGCATCATAAAATTGTCGAAAATAACGAAAATCACTGATAAATTTTCCTTCTTCAAACTGAGCGTACACTCATAATTTGTCAACCCAGACTTTCCGTCTGCATTATTGGCGGTGTGGGATAGAATAATTTCCGGGAAAACTTTGATAACTAGAATGGTAAAACATCCAATCAGAACAAAGATTTTTATGGTTTTAGTGAATCCATGTTTAAAAAAATGACATATTTTCAAATACCTCTGAACTGCAACAAATAAAACAAAAAGTGCAGATATACATTGTGTTACTTTTATAGCAAAGCTACTCATTCTACAAAACAAATGATGTTTCCATGATAGCACTACGTTGATATTTAAATATATAAAAGTTGTTCCCGATATTAAAGTTGAGATCATATCTAGTAAGGCTAAGTACGGTATATATTTACGTATGTCTGTTGTTTCGCTCATCATTCTCCAACGGATCCACATAACAGTTACGTTAAATAAAAGCGAAAACGTTGTGATCAGAACCATCAAAACAATGTTTGGCAACAATGTTTGATTTTTTTCAGCATTTAGCTCGGAAAGTGACACATTGCTAGCGATTGTACTCTTTTCCATGATGTTCAACTGTCTTTGAAGGAAGCGTTTATTTGCTGTGATAAAGTCATCAGAGAACATTTTTAAATAGGTTTTAGTGTCCTTCGCATTAACATCGGTTTTTATAATGAACATTGACCTTATATTTCTGACAAATGAATTTTACTCAACCGGGACAATTACAATGATGATTTCATAGTACTTTATGTGAATATCCGTCAAGTACTATTTACATACAGAAACTTCCTATCATTATTAAAATCGTTTTACTGTTTAGTTAAAAATTAATTACGTTTTATTAATAAAATAAGTCATTCCAGAATTACACCTGTCATATACATGTATAGTTTCATACGTACTTGTATTTTATGCATTACATTTGCAAACAATTGTTTTCCAATGTAACATGTTCACATACCAAACAGCGGTAGTCAAGCAAAGAGGATGGAATTTGTACATATCGATTGTTCATTAAGGTTCATGTGGACCCTGTGACTAAAATGGCTGCGGTTTCACCTCAAAATCTACTCTGAGTACAGACAAACTTGTGTATCTGGAAAAGTTTTAAAGAATAGCATGCCCTAGATAATAAAATACAAATGCATTTTATGTTTTAAATTTTTTTTAAATTAACTGGATTATGTAGTGCACTTTTTTCATCCCTGCAGAAGATGATAAAATTAACAAACAGTTGAGTTTTTTCATTTGATATGGTCCACACAGTGACACATTTTAAACCAATAATTATTGTCAGGTATCTATTGTCCATGTATTGTCCATCTCAATCATTATAGTTAACTTTAATTATAAACAATGGGGAAGTTCTCAAACCTCTCTTTCAACTTTGTTTATTTTGGCACCTTCTGTAGGAATGAAAAAAGAGCACTGCAAAATCAATTTTAAGTTTTTTTTATTTTCTACAACATAAAATGCATTTGAATTTTATTTATCTAGGGCATGCTATGCCTTTAAATTTTTCCAGTTACTAAAGTTTGTCTGTACTCTTATATTTTTAGGTGAAAGCGCAGCAACTTTAGTCATAGGGTCCACATGAACCTTAATCAACAGGATACCAGTATGGAATTACTATAACACATAGTTTGAATACTGTCGCACTTGTATCGATTACGTTCACATGTCAATGAATGGATTTTTTTTTTTGGTGTTTTATCGCCATGCACTTTCAGCACTATTGAATATTTCAAAACGGCCTGTTAATGTTGGTGGAGGAAGCAGGAGTACCCGGAGAGAACCACCGAACTTCGGCAGAAAAAATGGCAACCCTATGCAATTAAGATTTAGTCGAACGCACCTACCACGTGCGGGGTTCGAACTCACTACCTCCATATTAATGTATGATAATCAAACACTGTAATCTAAATTGTTCTTGATTTACTTTGTGCCGTTCTGTTGTTGTCTCTTGGCGTATGTCCAGCAAGCATCTCATTTTATTCTTGAAATCTGATCGCATGGTGATTACTTATTATCTTTTATGAATGAGGGTATGACACGGAGGTTCTGATTTTCCAAATTCAGTTATTTTGGTTTTTTTTTTTCGATTCCAACTTTTGTTCCTTCTTTTTATCGAGATCCCACCTTTTTAAACATCATATATTCAACTTTCCAACTTTTTTTATACCTAGTATTTCTCATCTCAAAAGCATGTCATCCCCTCACGAATGACAAAAAAGTTGTTCAGCAAGGTATTTGATGCACGTAGATCTTGTACCTTGCATTTCAGCCGTTTTATAGTTCGTTAAGGGTGATAAATTATACTTCCAATGCAATTACATCAATATGTTTTAATTTTAATTACATATATCACATATATATGTCCTTCGGTCAGCGGAATTTGATTTAATTTTCAGAAGTGTGTTGATGGTCCTAGATATATGTAACTCTGGACTCTACAATGGAGATTGTCAGTTGTAAATATGTGATGTATTCAGTCGCATAAAATAAGATAAAAACATAATTGATATGACCATAAAAAACGAGATGTTGTGTGATTGCCAAGAGACAACTATCAAATAGAGTCAACATGAAATGAATTTAAGCAACTATAGGTCACCGTACGTCCGTCAACAATGAGAAAACCCCGTAAAACTAAAGGCTTCATTTTTGCTAAAGCAATAAACGGAAATCAATTATGGCAGACATTAAACATCGACAACCAATGAATTAAACGTTGAAGATTTCGGACCGGCACATAAAGCATGTGTGCTCTTTGTTACCGTTTTGATGAAATATATAGTAGATATAGAGAAACTGTAAACAGCTGAAAGATCGGAAAATATACGTTTGTACGGCAACATAAAACAGAAATCTTTATAAGAGTTATTAACGTTAAAGAACAATTTTTCGTTTTTTTTTTTTTAATAACAAAAATAGAAAGTTAAAAGTGCAAAACTGAACGGCAGTACAACTTTTTATTTTAGTTATTGCAATTTTTTGTACTTTTGCTAATATTTTAAAAATCATAAAAGATAGAGTGAAATTTATCCATTCAAAATTCAAATCGGAAAGTCCCTTATCAAATGGCAAAATCAAAAGTTCAAACGAATGGAAAACAACCGCTGTTCAATAGTCACAATTCGATTAAGCAAAAATAAATCCGGGTAACAATCTAAAACCGAGGGAAAAACATCAACTATAAGAGGAAAACAACGTAACAACAGAAAAACTGAACCCAAAAAAATTAAAAGCAAACGCCAACATACATAGAAACGGACTGTAGATAACAAAACAGTCATATTCAGGAATAGGCCACGTTCGGTACTAAGCAGACCAGACTACGTAGATGGTAAACCACAATCTAAGACGTGGTAAAAATGTCGCTAGTTAGTTTAGCCACAGACACATCGTATATATCAGCCAATTCGTGTCACCGTAAAAAGTATCATAGTAGCCAAAGAGAACTTCTAACATAAAAAACGACCAGGAAAACATCAACATTACCTAAATCATTTATCGACTTCACATAGGAGATTTTAACCGTTTTTACATTTTTGGTTATTATCTTGGAATATTGCAAAAGTTATGTGAAATAAATGACATCGGTCTTAATATTCTCTTTAGCTAGAGTACTAGTCCAAGGTATGCAATTCGGGCTCTTTGGTGCCTTTATTTGCATTTCAGACATCATTTTAATGCATAACTGCAAATGCAACACGCTTTTAATCGCATTTCTGGCCACCAGGAACAATATGAATTTGTCTTTATCTTATACATGCGATAGAAAATTGTTCTTTGTTTTGAAATAGCTTTTCTATCTGTATTATAGATAAAGATGCAAAATTTGCAACAATCTATCAAAATTGCAGTTTCAACCTTCTTTTTGCAAATATTATATTTTTCTTACAATGCAACTTACTGTTGTTACAACCTGAAAGAAAGCATGTGACCTATCGAATTAGACTTATCACTGGGTTTGTATTTACATAAGCCACACGACAGGTGCTACATGTGGGGCAGGATCTGCTTACCCTTCCAGAGCACCTGAGATCATCCCCAGTTTTTAGTGGGGTTCGTGTTGCTCAGTCTTTAGTCTTCTATGTTGTGTTTTGTGAACTGTGTGTTCGTCTTTTCGTCATTTTTCATTTTTTGTCATTGCATTGTCAGTTTGTTTTCGAGTTTGAATATCCCTTTGGTTTCTCTTGTCGCTCTTTTAAAGTATGAATGATACTGTGAATTTAATCAAAGGTGTAAAGTCCTTCTAGAAAAGGCCCTGATGAGAAATGAATTTAAGGGAAATTTACCTCTTACTTTTCTTTGTGCTAGGTACATGTAAGTAGAATAAAATCAATACATTCGTCATAATCTAAAATGTGTTCATAAATATCTGTCAACATATTGTTTGCAATATTTTAGTTCTCCATCTAATATATCGTTTGCTTGATTAAATAAGGGATAACGGAAATAAAGAAAAAAATCGGGCAGACACAATTTATGTTTTAACCAAGACAAATGTTAAATGTTTCCATCCTTCCTGGTTGGAATTGACTAACTTTTAGAAAATGATATACGGAAGTGACATATGACCTTTAATTCCGGATATTGAGCGTCACTTGGTGACATCGTTTTATTGATTTGGACTATATTAATTTGTCTTTTTAAAATTTATTGAACGCAAAACAAGACTTTAATACTTATTTAAGTCCATACAATGCAAAAAGTGGGTTTTTTTCTATCAGAAACATCTGGCATCTAAAGTGCTTTGAGTTATGGTACAGTATTATTTCCTTTTATTTGTTATGACCATTATAGTCTCATAATCTAATTTTATTTATAAAATAAGGACGTATTATTTACAATGTAGTTTCAATGATTGCGCCGTATAGCGTATAGATTAGAGAAGTTTCCTCATCATCAATCGTATAAGTGGTAAATTATTGGATAACGATAGTATTTTTTGAAAACGGAAACATTTATTAAGTTCCAATTGTGACCAAAACGAAGTCAATAAATTCAACAGTTTCCTTGGATTCGTTAAAACTTTATGACATGAAGATGGCTGATGTTCTTTTGCCGAATACAATACTGTTGTTAGCTGGATGCTGATCAGCAATGCTTGGAAACACAGTTGTGATGCATATCCATTGGCGAAAACTAATCTCATCAGAAAACTTCAGAATGTTCATTTCCTTTCTGGTGCTTTCGGACGTTGTCGGTAGTGTTGTCTGTACCACAGTTGGACGGCAAACGATTTAATGGCTTCTAAGGTCAAGACATTGGTCACGTGACAAAAGGTCAGAGTTTACGATTTTTTGGTAAACGTACATGCCTCGTGGTTTTTTTACTCGTATCGTCTTATTTGTACTCGTACATTAATAAAAATCAAAGTGTTCAAATCTTGGGTGAATAAGCTTCATTAACCTTTATGATTGTTACTAAAAAGTGTTGATAAAGTATTCTAAATTGACGAGTGAAGTGAAACTTTTGTTCTGAAAATTTGCGTAGGTCCACGGAAAATCCCTAATAATTCCTTAAATAGGTATGGTAACGTGTTGAGGGGTATAAAATATGAAGCAAAACTATTTTTTTACATTAGATTTTAATCGATCCTAAATTTACTGGACACGAAATTGTGTCAGCTTATTCGTGGCGAAGTGGAGATCAAAGGGAGATAACTCCGTACACGCATCGCATCGTAGGAAATTGTAAGTTCACAACAGTAAATTCGAGTAAAATTGATGATTGTAGTTATATTTCCACACTTTCTTGAATAACTATTCCATATTTCATGTTCCTTTACTCTTGTTACATTAAAATAGTCATGGAATAGTTGAATATGGCATTTTTTCAAGTAATTACAGGTTTTTGAAAACTTCCAAAGAAGAAAATTATAGATAACTGACTTTTCTCTGAAACTTGGACTTATAAATTGCTATACATTGTATATTTTCAAACACCCTTTTGATAGATGGAATAATCCAAGTTTTTGTTTTACTTTCTGTGTATCAATATTCTTAAAAAGCAGATGAAAATAAACTCAGTGTTTGTACATGTAGGTTGTTTATAGAACAGTTTTTAAATATAAATTTCACTGTAAAATTAGACTTCAATTAATTTAATTTAATTTATATATATAAAAAAAATATCTAAAATAGACAGTTTTTACTCTGGTGCTCCGAAAATGTTGCATCAGAAATGAGATTTAACAAAGTTATTTAGACTGAAGAACTTATAGATTCTTTGTCACTTTGTATGCTGATTATATGGGAAAAAAGAGTGATATTATACATTCTAACACAGCATCAATTGTGAAACAATAGTTCTCTCCTCTAGAAATTTAAGTTTTCAAGATGCGAGGCTTGCCGATCAATATACATATTTCAGATTTCACTGTTAAGAGTGGAGAATTAACTTATTGACAGAGATTCTGTATGGGAATGTTTCTCTTGATATTTTTAAACAATACATTTATGTTACCAACTATCTTTGTTTTTCTACTATGATCTGCAAAGAGATGTTTTCTTTCTGTGTGACCGTGATCGTCAGGCATGATTATTGGTAGCCTTTTGTCCTGATGTAACAATGGCAAATTCTGAGAAAAGCAAGAACCTTTCAACAGATCCAGGTCGTTGATAAAGAGAGGGGGATTATTCCATATAACAGAAAAAATATATTTGATTTCATGCCAAAAAATTATATACAAGAGGGGTTCATCAGCAGAACTCGTTTTACAATAGAATTTAACTTTGCATTACATTAAAATACAATATGGAAAAAAAGAAAATGTAGACAATACATGCTTCAAAATTGTGAACATTGACATTGAATGAAAAAAAAGACAATTTTTTTGTATTATACCTGCTTTAAGATAAGAAACTATATAAGATGTACAAGTTCTGTTGCTCGCTCTAAATCAAGAGAAAAAATCTGAAAATCTAAAAAGCCAGAAACGGATTTAAAACTTAATAATCAACACAAAGAAAACTGAACAAAAAGCTGTATTGTAATATAATATCAGGCAGTTCACATTATTCCTATTATTACATGTATTACAAGTTTTTGATTTTTGTTTCTTAAATTTGAATTCAAAAGTTCTACAAAAAACAGTTGAGTCCTTTAATTAAATTATTGATTGAATAATGAATGATTAGTTAAGCTGATCAGTAAATAAAGTCTGAAAATGCTTGTTTTAAATAAAAGAGTGTGATTATGTCATAAAATATACTGAAACAACTTCAAATTTAATCCAAATTCACATTTAACTGCTCTAAAATGCATAGGCAATTGAAATACAAAACAAAAACCTTAGACTACTATAGCACAGTCCCGTGTTATAGTAGTCTCAGACAAAAACAAAGCTGACTTAAATACAGTATATTCAGAAATTTTTTGATGATTGGACAAAAATGAGATATTTATCATTCTGATATCAGAAAAAATCTTCATAGTATCAAATCAAAATGAGAGTTATTATTGCGATAATCAATTAAATCGCATTATTTACTTTCATAAAAACCTCATGATAATTTTTGAATTTACAGTACTTAGCTTGTCGACCTCTGCGCTTAAAAATTTAAGTTTCCTAGGCCTAAATGTGGTTGAAATACTGACAATTTTGCTAACTTTTACCAAAAACCTCTTTGTTATGACATAACTGGATTATTACTATTTCAGAAAAAGCTGCAAACAGTTATATATGTATCACATATCAGAATGCTAGTTTGTGTTATTTCAATAAGTTATTATTCAATTAATCAAAAACATATCAATTACTTTTGAATTGATACTTTATTTTTGATATCCCAAAATATATCAGTTCATACATTTGGTTTTTTTTATACATCTATATACTATTCATTAGGGAACTTATTAAAATGAATTTTTTGCACAAGACAGTCATGGCAGTTCACAATTACAGGGGTCATTATAAATATAGTGACACTATTTATACAACCAAATTTATTGTTGATATATATAAACTGATATCATTGCAGAATTTTTTTTCAAAGGATTTATTGTTTGTTAGTCATTTACTTCAAACAATTAACCAGTACTAAGATAAAGAGATTTGGTATGATTACCAATGAGATAACAGTCTGATAACTATCCACCAGAGTCCAAATAATGTGTCTGTTAGCAGTTATAAGTCACTTTACAGACATCAACAATGAATAAAAACTTTCATTGTTTTCAGGCAGCATAGGAAAAAGAGAAATTGTAGCTTTTTGGCTTTATACAAGAAAATATAAGAAATATAATAATATAAATAAGAAAATAAGAGAAACAAAAAAACAGGACTTAGCCAATGGACTATATATAAAGTGCTCCCTTACTAATCCTTAGAGGAGCTGCTGTATACTTAGAAAAGAAAGATGTTGGGGACTTAGCCACAGCGAACATCATTTTGAGACTTAGGAACAACAGAGTAGATGCGGAGACACTACATTTTGGCCAATCTGCCCTTTTGCTCCAACCTTAAAATTAATGCCTAGGGTGGGAATTAAACCCATGTTGTACATATACTCTATTGTTCTCTATGTACATATATGAAAATATCAAATGCCAAAAAAATGCTGTAATGTAAATATGGTAATTTTCATCATTACAGCCACAAGGACCTAGTATAGGAAGTCCCTGGACCTAGCTAGACCTATTTCTTAAGGAAGGTGTATTATATAAGTCTTGAAAGCATTTAAATGCAATTGTAAAATTAATTATATCTACGGTTAAACAATAATAACACAATAGTGGTTTCTTCTAAGTATTCAGTAACAACAACGTGCAATTTAAGTAAACAAACATCAATGAACGACCACGTGTTTGTCTGCAGTGCTTGAATTTAAAACGACTCATCAGCTTTATTTACACGAATTTTTGCTAAAGCAGACAGTCAAACATGCTTGTTTACATTATAAGTTTTATAAAAAAAGTGTATTTGTTGTTATGACTTGTATGCATGGAAATATAATGAAGATAACATTGATTTTTACCGTAAAAAATTGAATACACAACATTCCAGAGGTATACACACAAAACACATACCACTTTTGTAACAATGGATGGTAACGTATATAGCCACTTACATAACAGTAAATGCCATTGGATAAGCTACCCTACACAATAAATAATGTGCATATTCATGAGCGGACACAAGATTGTGTCAGCTATTGTTTTGATGGAAAAATGTAAACACTGGAATCTGCCATTTTGACGTACAAAACAAACTAATTTTCAATCTTGAATTAAAGGACATTGCGCACATTGCCAGCGTAACATGCATAACCAGTCATGTGAAAATATATCTTTTAATTTGTTTTCTACACTTACTATTCTACAAAATATATGTTTTAGTTAATTTAATGTTTTAATTTCCTACAGAACGGAACATCGTTCTCAAAGACGTCGTAGAAAAAGTTATAGGTGGCGCTATTTGTTGGCGTAAACATTTTACATACGGGCAGTTTTTGTGTCGACAGATTGACCTTTATCTGTCAGATTCAGGCGTTTGCCGTTCAATTGCATCAGTATATCAGTGATACAGAATTTTTATTGGTTCTCGTGGTCGGACCCATCTGCATGTAAAGCAGCGTGGATTTTGACGAAATATGTGCAATCAACTTCAGTCACGTTTCTTGTCGCCATCGAGTGTCAAAGATTCGTTCGGACATGTCGGCCATTTTAACAAGGAATATCAAGATTAAGCAACTATTTATATCTAATAATGTATGTGCTGTGTGAATCAATGCCATTTGCGCTTTTTGCAGACATTGTTATACAAATAAATGACACTGACAAAGATATTATGTTTTACGAATGCAGACGATATACTAACTATCCGGAAATAAGGCTTGTGTATAGAATCATTCATAACTCACTGCATGCTCTGCTTGTTATAATTATTGTTGTACTATATTTCAAATCTGGCTTAAAATTTGCGAAAGTCGCAAACAAGATAAACAATTCAAAGTACACACTAGGAAAACAACTTCTACTGTGGACTTCGCAAATGACACAATGATCGATCCTTGTTATATACATTGCCTTCTTCATCGACTAATGACATAACCGCCGATGATGCATCAGTGACAACAATAAATTATGGACTACTAACTGTATGTTTATTTTAGTGTCCATAATGGTCATGGTCACATGTTTACCGCGGGTCGTGATGTCATTTTTCGATGTTGCAGACGAACATTTCTGGTATAAATATTCATTTTTGACAGAGTTTACCGACCAGAACGTACTAGCGAAGGTCTCCTTTTCTATATTGTACATGGTATCGTTTTTCATTAATTCAGTTGTATATAGTGTTATGGACATGGAATTTAGAAAGAGTCTAAAACTTTGCTTTTACCAATGTTTACATTCGGATGAACCATTTAAGATATTTACAGTTTGTTTTGCAACATGACAATGAAGTATGATAGTGCTATTTCGATACATACGGTATATAGAACAATGCTTATTATGACAATAAATGTTTCATTGTTTATGCAAGATTTATTTTTATTGATATTAATTCATGGCTTTGTTTTTTAATTCACAGATGGGGCGTGATCGTTAGTTTGCAAAGAATTCTACTCAGATCGATTCAAGGAACCGTCTTTTACTTGCAGTAAGGTGAGAGTTTTTGCTCCGTGATGAAAGCTTCACTGGGTCTTTTAGAAGGAGAACAACAAAAAAAGCACCGTTTCTTAGCTTTTTGTGTTTATTGTTATGCATGTCCTGATTTTGTGTTATGGATTGATTCTATTAGAATGTATTGAAATGCCTGTATCAAGCCAGGAATATGACAGTTGTTGTCCATTCGTTTGTTGTGTTTGAGCTTTTAATTTTGCCATTTGATAAGGGACTTTCCGTTTTGAATTTTCCTTGGAGTTCGGTATTTTTGTTATTTTACTTTTTGATGAATAGAAAATGTAGTACCAGTGATAGAAATATTTATGTTTACATATAAATTATTCCTAAAAGTGCTGATATATAACGCGATGCATATAGGATTTAGGGCGGCGAGTCTTTTAGAACATAATCACATGTAATGAATCATAAAATGATAGACATTTGGAAGAAATAGGCATGTGTAAATATTGTATTAACAAAAAACCCAAACTCAAAGGTAAATAAAAAAGAGGGACGTCCATAGAACCGGACAAATTGAAATGCTCGAATATATCAACCACCTGAACAATTGGAAAACAACTGTCATATGACTGACTTGATACAGTCATTTTTCGAAAAGAAAATGGTGGGTTTACCTGGTTTCGTATCATATGACTGACTTGATACAGTCATTTTCCGAAAAGAAAATGGTGGGTTTACCTGGTTTCGTAGCTAGCTAAAACTCCCACTTGTATGACTGTTGTTTATAGTTCCGTGATATTGAAATTTTTTTTATAGCAACCATTAATCAAGTCTTTGTTTCACTACCAGTAACGGATTACGACCAGTCATAAATGATTATCCGATACGGTTAGCACCTGATAATAGAATGATATTTTAAGGAAAAAAATAACCGCTTCAAATAACTATAGATTTGAACACTAAAAATGTATTTCCATATTTTACCTATTATTTTGAAATATGTTTCGGTGTTGTTTTCAACAAAACATATTTGATGCGTGGTTTCCGCGTATTGAAAAACTAAGACTTAAAATGTTTTTGTTTTATTTGATGTGCTTTTTGCTTTGCTATCTTTTAACGTTTTGAATATTATAAGAGTTTCTAGAGAACAAGATATACCTTGGGGAGAATATCAGATTGAATAAAAAATGTAACAATTCGTGTTTCTAACTCAGTTCTTTCTCTTATTTAAGTGGTTCTTACCTTTGTTCATACAAAGATACAGCCAAATAGCCTAAAGAGAAAAAAACAGTGAAAGTGTCAAAGAGACAACAACCCGACCAGAAAACAACACAAGGCCACCAATAGGTCTTCAACGCAACGATAAATCCCGCAAATGGAGGCGGGGTTTCAGCTGGTCCCTAAATAATGTATACTAGTTCAGCGAAATAGACGCCACACTAAACTCCGAAGCAAAAAATTGAACCAAAATTTAAAAATCCGTACAAGACTAACAAAGGCTAGTGGTTCCTGACTTGTGACAGGCGCAAAGATGCGGCGGGGTTTAACATGTTTTGTATGATCTCAACCCTCCCCCTATACATCTAGCCAATGTGGAATAAACAAACACACAGCAATACGCACTGTAAAACTCAATGTTAAAGAAGTCCGAGTCCGATGTTAGAAGAGGTAACAGAAGAAACTAAGCAAAATGACAGGAATCAACATAATTAACAAAGAACTACTAACAGATACTGACATACCAGCTCCAAACCTTATAAATAAACTGATCGAAAGATTATGTCTTCATCATATAAAAATCAACCTCAATTTCTCCAGTCAGGGGTTAAGTATCATTCCATCATAAATTATACGAAAAGAACATAACCTATATCAAGCCAAACGTATACATTGTATGAAAATATTACTTGAAACTATTAAGCTCGATCGTTACATTTCTTTACGGTCCTATGTTTTACATAACGGTTTTCTATATCTAAATTAGAAAGGGTAATATCCATTGAATTCCTTTCTGCACGAACGATTTCGGCGGTCATTAAGGCGCGCTTGACCAATGCGACGTTCGTTACAAGATAGTAAGGACACAGAAGTTAGTTTAGTATACTATACGCCATCTTGATATGTCAGATTCAGAAAGCCATTCTCATCCGAACAGTCACCCATCTACTGAAGGTGCAGGTTCTATGTCTGGTGAATGTAGTCGTGATACAACTGAGTCCAATTCTGTTGATATAGTTCACTTGTTCAACACCAAAATTGATAATGCTCTAGAAAAACAACGAATCTCCATCGTTTCTGAGTTACTGTACAAACTAAAAGTCCTACGTTGACCTCAAATGTGAGAGTAACAAGATACATTATTCATTTAATGAAAAAAGACTGAGCAACCTTGATAACCTTGCTAACAAAATAACTTTTGGTTACCCCAAAGAAGCCCTCTCACATATCGACTCAGAAAAGAAAGTTTTAACCTACAGAAATAAACTCTTAAAGATAAGCAGACAAACATAGTTGGGAGACCGTTAAAGAGTATACTGATACTGATATTACTGATAACGCTGAAGATGCCACAAAAATTCCCGCAGCTGCCGCCAGAGCAGCCTCTAAAAAACAACGTCAAAACCAAACCCCATATACGAGGAATCCAACAAATTTTGCACAACGCAAACCTGTAGCTTTCGACGATATGTCTACTAGGCAGCCTTTTCTTGGCTCTCAGGCAGGATCAAGCCAGCGTCAACTATTAAACGCCGACCCGAGAGCACCGTTCAATGGCTTTAAGCCCAATTTTGGACAAGGAAACAACATTGCCTGTTTCTACTGCAACTTGCCAAGACACATTGCCAAGTACTGTCTCTATTCAGCTCATCTTCAGAGAAGACAGCCTCTCACAGCAACGTTCCCAGACCCTGGAGATAAACGATGAACAATTTGAGAATAATTTACATAATCTAAAGGAACATTTTGAAACAGAGAAAAACACAAAACCAATAGTTTCGGTTAAAAACAGACTTTACAATTTTGGGTTGTTTGCCTGTGAGAGAGCTTTCACATGTTTACTTATATCTATTAACAAGTCTCTTAACTTTTCTTGGCTCTCAAGCAGGATCAAGCCAGCGTCAACCATTCAACGCCGACCCTAGAGCACCGTTCAATGGCTTTAAGCCCAACTTTGGACAAGGAAACAATGTTGTCTGTTTCAACCGCAACTTGCCAGGACACATTGCCAAGTACTGTCCCTATTCAGCTCATCTTCAGAGAAGACAGCCTCTCACAGCAACGTTCCCAGACCCTGGAGATAAACGATGAACAAGTTGAGTATAATTTACATATTCTAAATGAAAAATTTGAAAGAGAGAAAAAAACACAAAACCAATAGTTTCGGTTAAAACAGACTTAAAAGTCCATTACCTTTTGGAAAGATAAATTGAAAACTAGCGAATTTATACTTAACGTCTTACAATTTGGTTACAGATTGGAATTTCTCGAGTTACCACAGAAAGTTATACTTAAAAATAAAAGATGGGCAATAGATCATGGAGATTTTACAGAATCAGCGATTTCGGAACTTTTACAGAAAAACCTTATTCTTGAATTATCAGAACCCCCGCACTGTGTCAATCCATTATCCTTATCTATGTCAAACAGAAGAAAACCTAGATTAATTTTAGATTTACGTCACGTTAACAAATGTATAGCAGAACGAAGGGTTAAATTTGAGGGTACAGTAGAAGGTTGCTTTTGCTAAAAAGGGCAATTTTATGTTAAAATTTGACTAGCGGGTATCATCACGTGAATATCCATCCCGAGTATTTCACTTATTTGGGGTTTTCTTGGAAATTTTAGTCTATAACCAAATACTTTGTATTTATCGTTTATCTAAAACTCTAAGACCTATAGTCAAATAGTGGAGATCTAATGGTATAAAAGTAATAGTTTATATAGACGACGGATGGATTAACATCTAGTCAAAAAACGTACGTCTGTCGTGGGTTCTATTATTTCTTTGAAATTCGCCTACGGATCAGTTTTGTCAGTTATTTTCTAGGCAAATGTCTATGTTAATAACTCATAAACTCGATTGGGACGAAAAGATCTTACTTAAATTTCCCCTGTAACTCGGGCTGAGCTTAATCTTTGGTTCGAAAACGTGTATTCATTTTCACTCAGAGTAATTTCACCTTGGTTTCGGAAACCAGAGAGAATCATCTATACAGACGCAAGCGATCATGTAGGTGCCGGGGTCGTCTTAAATTCAGTTAACCAGACATTTCATTTTATGTGGGACAAGTTGACTATAAGTCAAAGTTCAACATTCAGAGAACTCAAAGCTGTAGATCTAGTTCTGAATACTTTAGGAGATACATTGGAGAATAAGTTTGTTAAATTATACTCCGATAACCATAATATAGTTCGCGACTCTTTTCACAAAAAATCTTAAGATTAGAATTTATAGTAAGTTATACTGAAATGTGTATGACTGACAGGTATTTTTACTTTTTAAGATTTTTTTGTGAAAAGAACCGCTGGTGTTTAAAATATATTTTTTTTTCATTTACTCGCCTCAGTCTCTACAGTTGCCCTGTTTCTGGGTGGTCTTATTAAACAAAAATTCTTTTTCATTAGTTCTTGAAGCATATTATCACGAAAGCCCTTTTAGGACTTTCCAAAAAGAAACTGTAAACAGCTGAAAGGTCAGCAAATAAAGATCTGAAAATATATATATTGGGGGTTAATATTCTAAAAACAGAAAGCTGATGTTGTAAAAGAGCAAAACGGATCGGCAAAAAAGATCTACCTTTTTCTTATATGAGTTACTGCACTTGCATGGACTTTTTATTTGAGTTATAATTGCAATGTTTTTGTGTTTTAGCTACTATCTTGAAAATGATAAAAGATAGAGGGAAACTTATCCAAGAAATCATGATTAGTATAACAGATCTACAAATAGCTCAACATAGCTGGAAGGTTAATTGATACCTTGTTAGATTTATTGCCCTTAAATGGCCATATTTACCCATTTTAATCAATTTTTTATTGTTACCATAAAAAGTATCATAGAAGACACACAGCGATACTCGCATTAAAAAATGACCAGGAAAACAAGATCTGTATGACCTATATAAAAATAAGGAGATGTGGTATGATTGCAAATGAGACAACTATTCACCAAAGTTTAAATGAAGTGGATGTAAGCAATTATTGGTAACCGTACGGCCTTCATTAATGAGAAAAACCCATACCATATGGTCCGCTATAAAAAGCCCCAACATGAAAAATATGAAACAATTCAATTGAGAAAACTAACGGCCTAATTTATAACAAAATAGTTTATGAAAAACAAATATAACAGACTAGAACCAACGACAACCACTGAACTACAGGCTCCTGACTTAAAGAATGTGGCGGTGTTAAACATGTTTGTGAGAACTCAAATCAAATCATTTATCGACTTCACACCGGAGTTATTAACGTTTTTATATTTTGGATTATTATCGTGAAATCTTTTATTGATACATGTATGTGAAATAAATGAAATTTGGTCTTAATATTGTCTATACCTAGAGTTCAAGGTATGCAGCTCGTGCTCTTTAATTTGTAGCCTTTGTTTTGTGTATTTTATATACCAAGTAAATATATCTCTGTTACATGCTTTTACAAAAATTGTAGTTGCATTACATGTAATTTTTATAGGAATCCGTATTTTGATTGGCCGATACCAATCGAGAGGCATTCTAAAATTAGATTTTATTTTCCATTATAGGGAAAACGGTACTATTTATTCTGCCATAGGCGACAATACTAACATTTTCTCAATTTACCACTTTTTATAATAAAAACCTGGACAAAACAGTTATGTGTGGTGTTAGTACTTTATTATTATTTTTTAAAAATTGAAGCCAAATAGTATCATGACCAACTTCCAACGGAGCTTGTTTATGTTATCCATGCCCACCGTCATTTTACACCAAATTTATGAAATTTTGGAAATCTTTTCGAATAATTCTCTAGAAAATATTTCAATGGGTTTCAAAATTTATATTGTAAATATACACACTGCAGTTATTCATAGATAAATAAAAAAATATATTGTACCCTTACATCCAATTACAGCGCTCCTAAGTTGACTTCCTTCACCTGCCTTGGGTACACAAAAGGCCAACCTAATGCTGGGAAAATGTAATAGTACTATTTTCCCTATACTGTGGCATAAAGATATAAAGAATTCTTATTACACCATAAATGCAATACTGGGTTATTGTGAAAACCTTGGCTATAATAAATTCTTGTATGTCCCCATCACTTAAAGAAACATGGATCATTTTATGTCCCCCACCCCTACATGCTGGTTTACCTCTTTCTGTACTTCTTTTAGATAAGGCTTAATAAACTACCTGTATCCAATCATATCTTATCTTATTTTAAAAAAAATAATAAACAGTACCATTTAAACAGATAGAAATGACCGTTCCATTCAATTTGTATTCAATTTATCCAAAATTTACAACCTAACCACAAATTCAAGATTTTTCATACTATTCTCCATTCCATGCTTTAACATATGCCATATTGTGGTTCAAAATTTCAGAACTTGCTATAAAATCCTTTATTTTGTCTTGAGATGACAAATACAAAGATATTAGACACTTAAAACATTAAATATGCAAAATACTCAGCTGTAAAGTTGCCTTTGTTGACTGTATTAATCTATGAAAAAGCTGAATTATGTCCCTTGGGAGTATTCATTTCTAACGAAAGTCTTTTCAAGCAGTAGAAAATGAAAAATTATATATGCTTGATATAATAAAAGACAGAAACTATAAAATGAAGCACTATTGAAATATTTGCTGCATGAATTGCCAAGAATGTGAACAATTCTTTACACTGGAGAGTATAAATTCTATATAAATTAACTTAAAGCATCAATTAGGCCTCTTTTTTCTTAGATGGACAATTTCAACACTGAAAATGCTTCTATTAAGACCAAATATTACCTAACTTCATAACCAGTACAAACTTAACTAGACAATTTCCCATTTTAATAGATTATGTCTTGAGAAATACCCAAGTGATACATTTAGGGAATTACACAGCAAAAAAGGCAAATATTTTTGTTAAAAATATTTGTTGCGACTTGGATTCTGGTGTTTCCAATTGAATTAAATCATTGCGAAAGGTGAACACAAATACAAAAGAACTAGAGTTTGGTGCATTTTATACAATATAGTTAATATTGAAATCCTAGAATAAAGTTTTATATCAGTACCCATCAATTTGACTTATTATGATGACTCAGCACTTTTCTCAACACAGTATTGGTCTCAGTGGAAAATTTCTATTCTTGGTAATAAAAATCAAATGTACTAATCAAAAGCTTCAAAACTGTAATATAACTGAAGTCTGATTGATTTTGATTTCCCTTGCTATCTTTAGTAAACTAATACATTCATGACAGCACGTGCTTCCCGTGGCGACATCACGTTATTTCATGGTTATAGCATAAAAATCTTATTGTCAAAATTGAATGTTTCGTTTTGTAATTTTATATTGTTGTAAGAGCGTTGAACATGCGCTCATTTCATTAGTATGCAATACAAATTGTGCTTCGGTAAAGGTTTTTATACATTAATAAAATTACAAAAAGAAGCAATCAATTCATTTTTTCGTCTCCGAATGCCAGAAACAACATAAATCAGTCTTTATCTTAAAGGAACAAACACAGTTTACATGTGATAGAAAATTGGTTCTGATTGGAAATATCTTTGCTATTCATATTTCAGATAAAGAATAAAAATTTGCCAAAGTCTATTTAAATTGAAGTTTCAACCTTCTTTATGCAATAACATGTATCATATTTGTGTTGCAACGTGACGTACTGTTGTTACAACCTCATAGAACGCACATTAAAGTATGAAAGATACTATGAATTTAAACAAAGATGTAAAGTCGTTCTAGAATTGGCCCTGAAGAGAAGTGAGTTCAAGGGAAATTTACCTCTTAAATTTATTTGTGCTACATTGTAGGTACATACAAGTAGAAATAATACATAGTAATATTTGTCAACATATTGTTTGCAATGTTTCAGTTCTCTATCTAATATATCGTTTGCTTTATGATATAACGGATAACGGATAACGGAATTCTAAAAAAAAAATATCGGGCAGACATAATGTATGTATAAACCAAGAAAAATGTTAAATGTTTCCATCCTTCCTTGTTGGAATAGCTTGACTTTTAGAAAATGATATACGGAAGTGACCTATGACCTATAATTCCGGATATTGAGTGTCACTTGGTGACATCGTTATATTAAATTTTCCCATATGTTGTATTATCCTAATTTGTGCTTTTTAAATTTATTGAACGCAAAACAATACTTTAACACTAATTAAATACCCAAACAATTCAAAAAGTGGTTGTGTTTTTTTTAGAAACATCTGGCATCTTTTTTAGGGCTTTAACTTATAGTACAGCATTAATGCCTTTTTTTACAGCGGATGACCGTCATTCCGGTGTATTGCTATCGCCTAAATTTCCATTATGTAAATTAGTTTTGGGTTTTTAACCGATCTATAAACATGATAAATACGCAGACATCATCGAGTGCAAAATAGCATTCCTTATCGGTTGCCATATATTCATTTCTTCAATGAATACTCATCAAATATTTTTTTATAACATAATTTAATAATATTAAAATGTTTTATATGTATGTAAGTAAAAATTATTAATATCTATGCAGACGTACAGAAAAATTGTTAACGCATGCGAAAGAATATCTCAAGAACGATTGCAATCTCCTATAAAGGAGGTGAAGATTATATACAGATACATGCAGAGTTATTGGTCCTTGCTCTCTCGTTTTGCGGGAAACTATGAATGCCTACTCAAATCCAATCTATAAGAAAAATCGAAGAATTATAGAAGAGTGTCCACCATGCACTTGCACTGCACTATTAATAATTAGTAGAATAGAATGATATACAAAAGGATGAAAATTATATATACATGTAACTGTAATATACAAATATTAATATAAACCAGAGTATATTGATTTGTATCACTACAATACACATATATACATGTATATATATATATCAGGGATGTCAACGAGTACTCGAGTATCGCTCGGTAGTACCGAGTATCGATTACCAAAATGATACTCGACTAATCGGTTTCCTGTAAGAATGTTGTTACTTTCTTAAGTTTAAACAAAAAAATATTTTTAATGAAAGCGCCTCCGGAGGAATTATATATTAATCAAAATTAATAAATATTCAAATAAGATTCGAATGTTTGCATTTAACTGTCATTTGAAATTCCTCCTAACAGAGGTACATGTAGGATATATGAACAAACGCATTTTTCCAAGGCTTACACTTTTAGCTAATCCTAGTCACTCTCCCACCTCTGTATTGTCGGATCATATAGTTTCTACAGCAGGACTGTTAGTTACCTAACAAATTTGAGAAATCGCTGCGTCCAAGAAAAAGTTGACAAGATAATACTTTTAAATAAGAACAAATTCGTTGCACCCTGTATCAACCCTCAGAAAATGATTAATGGCATTAGTAAGTTCTAATCATCACTCCTTTGTTGATCATTAAATATGTTTTTTTTTACAGTGACCAAATAATGTTGTTTGAGTAATACTTGTTCTATAGATATTGATTAATTATTTGATTAGATTATTACCAATTTACATAATAAGTACATGTAGTAAATGCAAACGAGCTACTAATTATAGTATAAAATTCCTTGGACTATTATCTAGTCCTAGGTAACAATGTTAAGGGTTTTACGATCCCAAGAAAATGACCAACAATACATAAAATGAGTATAATTTTGTGTTTCCATTTTGTTAATGTTTTACCGAGCGAGTACTCGAGTATCGCTCGGTAAATCTAACGAGTAATCGATTAGTAAATCTTCACCGAGTTGACATCCCTAATATATATATATAATAGTTATTACGGTGATGTTGAATTCCCTTTCATTTATTTATCTTCCACACAAGAACTTGTCTTAGAAAAAAAAATACATCTGTACATTAACCTCACTTTCAGGTATAAAGATGTGATTTTTTTTTTTGAGACAAGTGCTTGTGACATCCACAATAACTTGCGGTCATCCGATGTTCAGTACTTCAGTACTTTGATGATTTGTAATGACCATTATAGTCTCATAATCTAATTTTAATTATCAAATAAGGAAGTATTACAATGTAGTTTCAATGAGTGCGACGTATATAGCGTATATATAAGAAGAGTTTCCTCATCATTAATCTGATTGATACACAGTCATACATTATTTGATAATGACAGTAATTTTTGAAAAAAGTACACGTTAGTTAAGTTGACCAAAATGAACAATTCAACAGATTCAACAGATTCTTTGGATTCGTTAAAAGTTTATGACATGAAGATGGCTGATGTTCTGTTGCCAAATACAATACTTTTGTTAGTTGGATGCTGTTTGGCAATGCTTGGAAACACAGTTGTGATGCATATTCATTGGCGAAAACTAAACTCATCAGAAAACTTCCGAA